TTATGGGTCATCAACGCACCCCTAGTACTGGTGTCTCGCGTGCAGCGTCACTGCGTTCAAACGGTGCTTCAGGGTCGTCTTCTCGGTCGTCCAGTCCCGTGAAGGCCACACCTTCAGCCTCCACTTCTGCCTCTGCGGTAGCTAGCCCACGCAATTCCCGGCTCACAGCCCCATCAACGCCTGCAAAGCGCATCCCCTCTCTAACACTTCAACCTCGCAAATCATTCCCCCGTCAACCGTCCGCAGAATCCTCCGGTCCTCAGAGCCCCGCCTTGCAGACCCCTAAGATTGGTTCATCTTCCTCACAGGAGGCTCTCGTCCAGGTGCAAAGGACGTCCTCCCCATTATCCCTGCCACCAAAGAATGCAGCCGTGGAGCCTCCACCTCCACCCTCGCCTGTCGCGCGCACATTTTTGCAGCCCCCCGCACCAATAGACTCCCCATCTCTAAACGGTACGAAACTTGCACCGTCACCTTCCATCTCTCGTGTCAACTCACATGAACCTACATCACCCATAACTGTAAGTCTATGCGCACGCGCACTATATCCACTAACTTCAAAAAAAAAATAGCGTACCGAAGATCCTGCTGTGCACGCGAAAATACGAGTACTCGAAGCTAAACGCGCAGACGATGCTCGACACATTCGTGAACTTGAAACTCGCCTCGCAGATGCAGAGTCGTTCGTTGCCCTGCGCCCAAAACTTCAAGCTAAACTACAATCCCTCCAATCCGAGCTGATTGCAACAAAGCGTGCATTAGCAGACGCAGAGCAACTTGCGAGTTTGGGCGAGACAAGGGGTGCGGATTCACAAGAACAGCTGGAAATGGCGATGTTGGATAAGGAGGTTGCGGAGGAGAAGGCAGAATTAGCGGAACAGGAGTTGGAGGAGGTGAAGGAAAGACTTGCTCGTGTTGAAGTGGAGCTGGGTGTAATGAAGGAGGGCGGCGGTCAGTATAACGTGTTGAGTTTGGGACTTGGCTGATGAATCATTTATTCTAGCGTTGGGCAGAGATGATGACGCAAACGCCAAGACCTCACTGGCATATATCCAACTCGAGAAACAGAACGAGCGATTAAAGGAGGCGCTTATACGGTGTGTCATCTTAACTATCTTACAAGGAATTATTCTTGATTTGTGCGATGAAATAGCCTTCGCGACATGTCGCAGGAGACAGAACAGGAACAGCGCCGCCGCATAGCAGAGATGGAGAAGGACATCACAAGTATTGATGACCTGCAAGGCATGTCTCTTTATTACCTGTCTTTTGATTGTCACCATCTTCTGCCCCCTTTTCTTTTCTTTTCCCTCGCTTTAAACTGACATCCTCAATAGGCCAATACGAACAAACACTCATCAAGCTTTCCAATGCGGAAACGCAGATTTCATCGCTACAACAACAACTCGACGATGCACTAGGAGCAGAAGATTTGCTCGTGCAGCTAACAGAACGGAATTTATCGCTTTCGGAGGTATGTATGGTCTCTCCTCCCTTCCCTCTAGAGTGTTGTTTTTATTTTTAAATATATGATCCATCACACAATATCACTGCGTCGTTCACACTTGCTCATCCTCTTCTCCAGAAAATCGAAGAACAGCGTATCACGATCGAAGACCTCGAGGCCCTCAAGGAACTCACAGACGAACTCGAAGAGAACCACGTTCAGGTTGAGCGTGAGCTTCGAGACGAGATTTTAGATCGCGAGAAGGATCTGAGAGAGGAGAAGGTCAGAGTTGGGTTACTTGAAGATATAGTGTCAGACGCGGATGTGACCATTGCGAGGTTTAGGGAAGTCGTTGCAGATATGCAAGGGTGGGTTTACAATTACTTTTGCTTGCTTCTTCAGTTGTTTGCCTGCGTGGGAGTCGTGCTGATGCACTTACCAGCGAACTCGACATCATGCGTTCAGCGACGCAAACAGCGCAGCACGAGTCTGCTACAGCTGCGCACCAGACGGCAACGATGATGTCGCTGAATTTGAAACTCCAATCCTCGGCGGCTAAGAACCAGGCGAGGGCAGTAGAGCTGGAAATCAAAAAGCTCGAGGCAAGGGAGAGGGGGGAATTGTTGGGAATTGTGCAGGTGGGCTTCATTTTCTGTTTGATAGAGTACCCTCCTCTGTTCATTATCTTTGCTTTCCCATTTTCCTGTTCGTTTTCACCCCCTTCCCTATTTCTTTCATTATTTTCATTTATTCCTGGCCAAGAAACACAAGCTGTCCGCAAGGAAATGCAAGATGAACTTGTGATTGTGAAGTATTCTTGCCTTGCCGTGCTTTCGGTTTATGACTTCATTCGTTGGTCTCCTCTCGATTCTCATGTTTGCTTCATCCTGTCCGTTATTTTCCCTTTGCTCACTTGGTTCCCTTTTGTTTACTTGCTCTGATCACTCATTGAATTGAACCTCATCATCTGCTAACTTCTCACTCTCTTAGCCTTACTTACCTCAACAATATGTCGAGTCCGACAGCGACGCCACAAATTGCTATCTCTTCTTCGCACGCCTGGGGTACAAAACCGACCTCATCAACACTATCGTGGGACAGGCCCATGGTCTACCCGACTCACTCAATGGTGTCGTTTCGGAAACGCTTGTTGGAATATGTGAAGTGTGTTGTGTTTTCTAAGTTTAAACAGCAGCGCTCGTAACATTTATTCACCAATGACAGATGCGTGGCCGTGCCGCGTCCTTTTCCACGCTTTGCAAACGTTTTGCTAGTATCCTCAGGCGGTGCGACCCTGCATCTTTCCTCAATATCGGGCGCATATATCCTGAAATCGCCCCGATGGAGAAACGCATCGATCTGCACATTGATCTTCTTCGACGGGATGAGTTTAGGGAGATGGAATTTGTCAGCGACATGCTCAAGTACGTTCATTTCGATCCCTCGCTACTTTTGCTTCCCTGTTTTTTATGTCGACGAATGGGACAATGCTTACTTCTGACATAGGATGCTAGCCCAATTCGATCATCTAGCAGAGACTTATTTCGATGGGTTCGAACAGGATCTGGGCGAGCGTGAACTTGGATATGCACTTTCATTTGATCATGATCTCGATGTATTTGCCGCATCTATCGGGCTCACGAAGACGTCCGTTGCTGTCATTCTCAATGACGAGGGTACGTGACACTGCCTCTTGCCCACGATGTCGCTTACACAAACCACTCCATAGATGTCATTCTCGACATGGGTGGTTATGATCCAGAGGAAGAGCTTATCGAGCCGTTGCAGAAGCTCTTGGAGCAGTGCAAGAGCGCCAAGGTGTTGTCTAGGTAATGTGGTTTGTTGCGTTGTGGATATATGCTAAGCGGTTGGCAGGAAACTTACAAAGCGCCTCGATGACGTTATCCAGGAGTCTTCGGCACTCAAGTCACATCTTGTTCAGCAACTCAAGGCTCTCAGCAATGCAGTTCCCGAGCTAGTTAACTTTGGTATCTCTGTTAGTGTTTTTGCGCCCCTATTCGAAGATGATTGCTGATTTTTACAATTGTAGCTCGCCCAACAAGTAATTCCACACCTCAGCGATGCTCGTAGTGCCAAGGCTCCGTTCCAGCTTGCAACAGTGTTGTCGTATGCCAGGCAAACTGCAATGTCAACTGTCGCCAAGGACATGAAACCTGGGACCTCGTGTTTCGAGGCGGTTGGTGAAGCTATTGCTCAGCTATCAGCGGAGTGCAACAAGTTACTCCCTCTGGCAATGGAACCGGAGAGTGTATTCAAGAGTAGGCCTCGTGTGACTCTAATACTTGTCGATATCATGCTAACGATGACCAAGTCTCCGGCACACCACCATGGGTCCTACGAATTGAGGAGATCAGAGCCAGCATGGCTATCAATGTCGAAGCCGAGCAGAAAGCTGCACAGCTGCAGGAAGAAATACAAGGACTTGTACGGAGTCTCAAGACGAAGGACCAAGTGATACAGGAGTCAGGAGTGAAGATCGAGCACATGGAACGGCGCATGGAAGCGGCTAAGAAGCAAACGGATACCATTGGAGATCTTGAGGTTGAGCTCTCGAAAGCGCGCAAGCAGGAACGTGCGTACGAGGAGGCAATGGAACAACTGCAGGCGGACCTGGATACGTTCGAGCAAGACAATGCGAAACTGAAGACGTTGGTTGCGGGGTCGGAGCGACAAGGTGTGTTTGTTTGTATCGGGATCAATTGAACGGATCGATAGCTTACGAAATTTAGCTGCTGGTGCACAACCTGTCGATTCAGAGAATGTCCCCATGGAGGGTAATGTGGAGACATCACACCTCCTGGAGCAGGTCCGTGCAGGTCTAGAGCCGTCTTACTATTGTTGTTCTGACTCTCACATAGATCGAGGCTCTTCGTGGCACCGTCCGTTTCTTGCGCACAGAAAACTCGTATCTCAAGGGGCAGGACCTCCTCAAGGAAATACAAGCACTACCACAACTCCCAGAACCTATCAACCGCATACATACACCTCCACTGGATCCCTCAGGTCAATCCGACACAGACGAATCCGATACGGAACCACCATTCGCTCCACCTACCATTCGCTCGCTCGCCACAGAAACTAAGGTGCTCTACCGGGATGTCATTAAATTCTCTTCATCGCCTCGTGTTGTTGATCTATCTGCTCTTCATGCAAAGAGAGCAGAAAGCGATTGTAAAGGTGGGAAGATGTGGATGCGAAGGAAAGCTAGCCCTGCTCAGCAAGTCCTTGACCGGAAAATGGAGGCCGAGAGACTTAGCAGGCGCGTCAGGGGCCTAATGGATCGTGCAAATGCGCTTTAAGGGGCTTTATTAATATTTTGCTTCATTTTTTATGTTACTTTACATCTTGATATTAGGTTGTATACCCTGCATGAATTTGCTATGTATTACGGGGATGTGATGAGGTAGTAAACATCATGTAAATGAATGAACAATATGAGCATAAGGACTGATAATCTTTACAAGAGTTACAGAGTGTACTCCATTATACCTGTCGCAACTTCGGAGCCCCCCCCCCCCACCCCCCTGTGACAGTGACAGCCATAATACCACTCGGTCAACAATATACCAAATACCTACTAGAAAGTACTCGCCCTGTCAACGTGACTCAGGAAAGGAGAGGTCACTGGACCTCCTAAAATTTTCAAATCCAAAGTCCCCTCTTCTTCACAACCATGATCATGGCGGTTGGATTCTTGTCGCTTCCTGCAGAGCTCATATGCCACATTCTAATCCTTCTTAGCCCCAGGGACATTAGTCGCTGTGCAATGGTCCGCTGTTTCCCATGGTTCCATATTTCCTCCAGGGCTAACGTTTAATCATGCTAGACCTGCAATACCTTTTCGGTTGTGGTCCAGAATTCTGTCCACATCCAATACAAGCTTGAAATCAATGCTCAAGGCTTGATTAGTACTGAGACCACTACCATGAACTCGATCGGCGTTTCCAGAAAGACTCTGTGTTCACTCAAGAAATCGGCATCTTTGTGGCGATCTGACTTCCGTGCGACCACAACCTTTGAAGCAGTGGTTCCCATAGATTTTCCGTCGCCATAGCCACTCCAATCTGTGAAATGTGGGCTTTGGTGGTTACCCCTGGGCGATCTAGTGGACGATTTTTACATTCAGGATTGCAACACGAATCCTACACACTCCCGGACGTGGTCTATCGATGATATACATCCACGACACTGGACTCCGTGCTATGATGCCTTCGACCCTTTGCAGGATCTTATGGTTGTAGTTTCTAAGCCTTATTATGGCTCTGCGACTAGTGCAGAACAAGATCACCGTGTCTTTTGCATAGAGTTTCGACTGGCTTCATCCCAGCGTCCACATCCAGATGCTGCGTGTGCTTCCTTGGAGTGCAGACATACCTTTGATGCACCTGGCTATTACAATGCTGCTTTGCATCCGCCTATAATCTGTGGTGATCGTGTATTTGTCGTTTATTGGCTAGAGGACGCACATGACCGGCTTGTATCTGGCATGTTCATACAAGTCATTGATTGGAGGAAGGGATTTGCATATAGCGTAAGTTCCCTCTGTTTGGAAAAATCTTGCTGCTCAACATAAGCAGCATTTTTTATGTCAACCGGAGGACTCATTTTGTCACCGTTACGGTTTCCATGCAATCGACGAACAGAAGTTTCTCATCATTAATTCCGAAGATTCGATATACTTGTACACGTTACAAGGGCTCGATGGGGCGCCTCAGCGCCGAATTACATATCACCTTCCTAAGAGACGCCGTCTACCCATGGACCAAGTCATTATCCACGGCCACCCATCATTCCGTGGCAAAGCAGCACGCCCAGGACTCGTGCCCAGCTATGTGCCCTCCCTGGAGTCGCAGATTATGGTTCTACAGTATCTTTCCAAAGCGCGGAATGCTATCCTAGTCATCGATATGGCCATTTTCTCTAACATGGCCTTGCACTCAGATATGCCCGTCAAGATTCCTTAGTCAGACTGGGGACCTCAACATACGCATTACTTTCGGCACCACAAAAGCTACCGTTACGGTATCAGCGTGTTTGGCAGCAAAATGGCCTATGCCCTTCCCCAAGATTATATTCCTGATCCAGGTCAAAGACTGAAACGGCTCGCCACTGAGGGTCACTTCTATGTGCACATCTGGGACTTCAATAAGCGAGTCCTTGCTCGTTCGGATATCAATGATCCTGACTCGCCAGATCTCCGCATTTGTAAGTCGCAGATGACTGACTCCTTCGGTAAAGATATCTTCTCGAGTCGTGCATTCATTGCAACGGTCTGTCGCACGCCTTTTCCGACAGGTGATTCCTGTATATTCTTGGAACAGGATCGGCTTACTGTGACATGGGTACGTGTTCTCTGTTTGAATACAGCCACGGTATGATGTGACCGCATTGTAGGCTCGGGATTATGAAATTAGTATACAGGTCATTTCCCCCGTACCAATTCATTAGTGCCAAAGCAGCAGGCCGTCTAGGTATCCCCTCTTCTTCCGCCACTTAGTTTGCGATGTAACATTTAGCACCTTGTATTGAATTTACACCAACCGCATGGGCTTTGTGCTTTGTGCATGCACTGTACAACCAACCTTATAAACAATGGTCCATGTCAATCAAAAGTTGTGACTCCTCGTAAGTGATGACCTTAGCACTTTTTTCATCACTCTTGACCGGTCGTCACCTTCGTTCGACTGGTCATGGATCACAGTCTTCGATGACTCTTGCAATGTACATTGAGCCGGCGATCATTATTGGCTCCGAGAGATCCAGAAGGTAAATAAACATTGAAGAACCACGACGGGCTTGTTCAGATCAAGTTTTGAACTTGTATCTGCATCTGCTGCCAGTGACTCGAGTTTTTAGACGCCATTGTAGCGCTCGTTACTACTTTCCAATATCACATTGGATTATTCACATAATCGGTGCATTGCCTCGTTCACTTAGCCATAATGTGACAGCTCATCGTTGCAAGTGTAAAATACACTGAGTCTCGTTGCCTGTATATCACGCTGCAATCGCTTGATATTGCTGCGGAGGCGGACATGTTCTAGCACACATGGCTCCAAAATTGCTCCCAATTTCGAACTTACCTCTTCATCTGAATAATAATTTCATCAGTAAATTCACTAATTCCTTAATTAGCTTTCCCGCCGCTTGCCGTCAATTATTTTCCCACATGAAGCAGTTAAGTCCTTGGCAAGGGCGGTAAAAACCACTTGCCGCAAGTTCAACAAGTAGATCCCTCCTCTTGTTTTGCACTTATTTTTTACTTATTTCCACTTGCTTGAGCTTGTGCCCACTTGGTTCATGAAAAAAACGGCGGCAAATACTGCATTTATAGCGAGACAAGCGGACAAGTTAATTTAAAGTGAGAGCAAGTGACAGTCAAGTACTGGTAAGTAGCAGAAAGAAACATTAAAGAGCGGGATAGTGACGGTTAGTGACAGTTTAAAATGCGTGAAACTATTAGTAGTAGTAGTGGCGACAAGGGAAGGGCAACGAGGGAAAGATGACTCGGAGCAACGGGAAAATGAGTGAATTGGAGCAGCATGGAGATAAGCTTTGAAGTGGCGACTTGAGCAGAGAGACGGCGACACGAGGGAGTAGTCCTAACATCATGACACTGCAGGAAGAGTCATAATACTACTAGTAATCAGTTGCGAGACATGAAATGACAAAAAAAAGAACAGTACCACTGACAACTAGCAGATGAGTGCGCGCTCATCTTCTGATTCCTCGTCCACCTTTCGTGCACCATGCCTCTTTGTGCCAAGGTTCTGAGCTCTCTCCCACATCTTCCTAATGACCAAGTCTCCTGCGTGAGTGATGGATATCATGTATGACCTAGTGGGCTCACCCCAGTTGACATCCGAAAATGCCAAAAGAGCACTACTTTCATTGCCTGATGACTTGTTGTGCTTCTGGGGGGCCTTGGAAGCCCTTCCTCAACCGTTGATTTCAATGTAACTCAGTAGAAAGCCCTCGTTGGCAAAAAGTGTGATTGCGCATTCCATCTAAAATAAAGAATGAGTCAACTGTGTAAAGATATGGTGGAGATATCTGCCGCCGAAGTGGCAAGGGCAAGTGCCCCCTTCGCGTGTCGCAATGTAGTGAATCCTGGCACAATGGTGAGAGCACCAGAAATAGCACAGTGATGTTGCGCAAGCACCTGCATGATAAGGTCAGATTGAAATGGTTCCATGTGCTTACTACCATCCTCCTTAATTGTCCCATACAAGAATGTGCTCTTGATAAGTAGGCACGCAGAAAATTGCTGGTAGTCTTCGTCAGTCTCGAGATCAGGCTGTGAGCGTAGGAATGTTGCAAATACAACGAGGGCAGTGGTGCTGATGCTGTTGCGCCATTCTGACAACCGCTGAAGGGCCTGTTAAATATCTGGTTTCAGGGCTCAGATATGAATGGGGCTTAAAGGCACTCGTCTCCACTGGCCATACTCTGTTCAGAGGTCGCCGAGGGCTTTGCAGCCTTTGCTATTGGGCGAGCATGGGGACATTTAGGCTTCAGTGCATCAACACGTGCAGCAGCTTGGTCCGTTGCCATCTGTTCCTGGAGAGTTGCTATATGCTGATGCCCTTTTTGTATAGCTTGTTCACTCGCCTGGTTTGCCTCCAGTTTGCGCTGTTGGTCAGCCATCATTTGAGCTTTGGTACGTCTCTTTGCATGACCTTCGGCCTCGAGCACGATGCGTCCTGGATGCTGAGTTGCATTTTTAGGACAGGTTCCCATACACTGTGAAGCTGGCTGAGACATTTGTTCGATGGACGATTCGAAGACTAAAGGTATTGGAGGGTAGTGGTGACGAGTTGAACGTGAGTCTTGTCACTCTTTTGAAAATTTCTGGCCTAGAAAGCTGACTCTGAATATGACATTGACCCTAACGTACTCTTGGCTAGTGCTACCAATACAAGTACTACCACTAGTTATATTACAGATTTCGGTCTGCCGACTTTGGGAGCCTTCAAGTGGTTTTGTTTTAGTCCGACAAATGAAAATTCACCACAACCGTTTCGGTGTAATATCAATGTTTACCAGAACTTCTGGTATAATATTGATGTTCACTAAGGCGAGTTGGCCAAATTTTGACCTTGACAACAGCACTAATTTGGGGGATATTGTTTAGGTTTGGTATTGGCGCTAAACTTCACAGCCCAGGCACTACACTTCCTTGTATCCCGTGTTACAACTACCCCATACTATGCCTCAAGCTGCTGGTCGCTGTGCTCACAACCTCTTTTGGTTTGAGTGTCCAGCTCCAAATTGCACGCGCTGGTTCAAAAATTGCTCAGGTCTCACACAACATACAAATGCATACCACCCCATAAATAATGTCACACCAGCTCCAGGACCATACCCTCAAGATGTCCCTCTACCACCCCAGCCATCACCTCCCCCTCGAGAATTTGTGTCGCCCCCTCCTGATTTTGACCCCCCACCCCAGTCATCACCTCCAAGGTATCCCAGCCACAGACCAACAGTCGATGACGAGGGAGATGAAGAGACTGTGAGACCAACAGTTGATGACGAGGGAGATGAAGAGGCTGAATTCACGGATCCCAGTGGGCGATACTATCACCGAAAGATGCACCTGATTGTGTCTGAGATGTTGGTTTAGATGACGAGATTAGAGTTTTAGATCTTAGTGGTAGTAGTATATCGGCAATGTTATGTTGCTTGCAATCAACTTGCAGTGCTTGTTTTGGCTTGATCTTGCTTGTCGTTCTTGTGCTGCTTGTTGCCGATTGAAAACCACGTGCTTCCTTAATTCAACTTATCAAATAAAAAGCCAAGTGAATATATTTAGCTAAGTCAAAATTAAGTGCGGCAAGCGGTGGGAAAGCTAATTAAGGAATTAGTGAATTTACTGATGTTGCAGTGGAAATGTTAATGAACAATATCTGTCTAATATTACAATATACCTGCCTAGTAGCTCCATATCCCATGAGTGTTAATTGAACTTTTGACTTGATGCCTAATACGTTAGGTTTTAAATGACGAGTCTCAACTCTCGAAGCTTCGAGACCTGGGGGTTATGTCGTAATTCAGTCATGTGGCAAGGACTCGTCAGTTCACTTTTCTTCATCTGGCATCAAGTATGACATGAGCAGTAATGAACCGAACAAGTAATGTGCTATATTATGAATGGTGCCAGCTATCAGCATCAGCGGGAAGTATCGTGCTACAGAGTGTTACAGAGTGCTACAAAGCACTTTGTAGCAAATCATTACGTTTCCCTGATGCATTGAGCTATCAACGAGTTAACCATTAATCAAAGTTAAGCTACGCACAATTGAGGGAGATGAGAAAGTCAACAAAGCCCATCATAAAAACAATGATCGTAAACACATGTCCAGTGAGTATCATCAAGTGTCAGCATTTGAAAAATCCATGCTCAGACGTTAACCAAAACCCATCCCATTGCGATGCCGAATGTGCCCACAGCTAAAGTGCTCATCATGCCAACGAGACTGCCACTCCACGACTTAATGGGGCTGGTGCCATTAAAGTTGATATATGTGGGTGTCAGTGTACTGGAACCGTCAAATCCATCTCCTCCAGTTCCACTGCCAGTTAAGTTGGCGCCGTTGGGCTAAACAAAGAAAGCTAGTCAAAGCGAGCTGCATAGCTTCAGAGTGTGACTTACCCCGATAGGTTGTGAGTTATCAGTGAATGCGCAATCCGAGGATTTACACAGGCATGACCCAGCAATGGGATCCCAGAAAGGTGTTTTTTTTTTGAATCAAATTTTTGTCCAGTTGGGGTAGAGTACCCTATGTAGGACATTTCTAACTAGGAAAGGGGGACACCTGTGTCCCCCACCGTGTCTCCTACTCTGCAAATGCCCTGACAAAGGGTTGACCTCTGCCAGTCCGCTGTTCCTGCCGGCCATTTCAGATGCATGAGTCTGCTACTCCACGGGGCCATATTGATACAGTTTGTGTTTGTGAGGGGCCTGTCATGTGTTGGGGATATACAAGTACTCGGACCGCTGAAGCAATCTTTGTATGAAGGGAGTAAATGGAGTGCGGAAAGAAAGTAAGAGGTAAGATGGATTCAGCACGGTGTGCTGCTGATAGAACCTTCTGTACCGTGTATCTCTACAACGAAAGTTCTGTCCCTGTCCGTCCTTCTCCTGAGTCTCTTTGCGTCTGAATCTCCAGATGGGTCGTTGAATGACACCTGTTGCCCTGTGTTTGACGAGTGAAGATGGTGATGGGGTAGTCTTGAAAGGAGTGCATGTGTTAAAGATCTGAATTTGGGTATGAATTATTATCTGAATTTCAGCATGAAGTGGGGGGAACATCACCGAAGGTGGCCTTGAATCTGCCAGTGCTGTTGACAAAACAAATGAGCAGCGCTAAGGCCTTAGCATTGGTGAGCAGGTACATTATAGAGGATGCTCGTCTTCTAAGGATGGAGGTGAGTATGTGTTGATCATGTGCATAATGGGGGCATAGCAGAAGGTAATGCTGTACTGTCTCGAGGGCTCCTTTGCAGTGAGGGCAATTGGGAGAGGCGCTTTTCCCAATGCGATGCAGATGTTGATTGAGAGAAATATGGCGAGTATGGAGCCACAGTAGGAGGCTGATGTGACGTTTCAGTAGATGTTGAACAAGAGAAATGAACGAATTACTTGCTGCCATGAGGTGGGGGTCAACTTCGATGGTTCATGTGTAGTGGGGGGATTTGGACAAGGTTCTACCCCATCTCTCTGAGGATTCATGGCACTGAGCTTGTTTCAGGGCAGATATGCTGCTTGGTAGGACACCTTTACACAGGTAAGGTGGAAGACGGTGTATGGCACTACTGTCTCCTCGGCTCTTTGCAGCTTTCTTTGCATCTAAATCTGTCTTCTCATTGCCCACTACTCCGTCGTGTCCTGAAATCCAATGGACGTTAATCTTGAAGTTGCGGTCCTTACTGGCTTTCTTCAAATCTTTTATTGTGCTGCGAAAATGATCTATCAGGTAATGGCCTGGTTTGATGGAAAACATGTCACCGGATCTTATTGTTGCTTGATTATTGATGTAAATTGAGATGGGGTATGTGATGTCCTCTTCCATCGAGAGGAGTTGTGCCGCTAGTGTCAGTCCTACTGATTCCGCCTTGTATACAGTGTGGTCATCGATGGAGCCCAAATGGTATATTAATGTGCTTGGACGATGCCGGCCTTGTCTATAGAGAACTGCCGCTGCTCCTACTTGACCGTCTATCCCTGAACCATCACAGTATACTTTGATATTGTCAGTATTAGCATCGTGCTCTGCTATAGCTTGCTCTCTTGATTCGGCTATGTTGATGGTGTAGGAGTTTTGGTCATTGGGTGGATGTCTGCTATGGGTGATGGTTTCGATGGAGGTGATGTTTAGTTGGGAGGCATGGAATAGATGGTGTAGAGAGGAGCAGTGTCATTTAACATATTTCCTGGCTGCTTTCTGGGCTGGTTCGTGCAATGGGTGGGACTTGGGGTGGGCTGCTAGGCATATCATTGCTTGGTAACAGAGATTCTGCATCCTGTGTTCTGTTGGGAGCAGTTTCGCGTGAACTTCCAATGTGTCGGAGGCTGTGGAACACATTGCGCCCGTGATGCTCAATGCAGCCAATCTTTGTACCTGGCCTAAACAATGAGCTACTCCAATAGATCCAAATTGCTGCTTGTCGTTATTGCCAATGAATATGGGGCGGAACCAGAGGTCAACTGCGTACAACATTTTGGGCATGGCTACTGCAAGGTATAATTGACGCATCAACGAGAGAGGCATGCCTGTAGAGGTAGAAGAGATACGATGTAGCTGTAAGATGTATGCTGTTCCCTTTGCGATGGCATAAGCTATGTGTGCTTTCCATCTTAACGCTTGGTCCAAAATGACTCCTAGGAATTTGTGTGTAGCCGTTGGTGTAATTGTGGTGCCACGTGTGATCAAAGGTGGACGATCTTTCGCTGAGTTCATAGAAAAATCCATCAGTGCAAACTTAGATGTTTCGAACTTAGAGTTGTGGGCTAGTGCCCATGAATAACCTCCTCCCTCTCTTTCCAACATGTCCTTCAGAATGGCGTGTGTTTTGTGGAAGTCTTTACTGATTCACAATGAATGCCATGTCATCTACAAATGCCAAGGTTTGTTCTTTCTTTATGCGGCCTGCTGCTATATTAACTAGGTCAGAGTCATAAATAATATATAAAATCATTGAAAGTGGGTCTCCTTGACTGATGCTGTTGGTGATTGGGATCCAATCCGAGAGGTGACCATCAAATTTCAATTGAGTGCGTCTGTCTGTTAGTAAGTGTTCCATGAATTGAACTAAAGATTCAGGGAGCCGGTGTGTGCGCATGTTGTGTAACAAACGGTCTGTTACAGCATTGGGGAAGGCACCTTCGATGTCCAGGAATAGAGCTGATACTACCTTGCCTTGACATCATGTGTCTTTAATGGTTGCCTCAAGAAGATGGAGAGAGTCCGTGGTGGAGTGACCAGGTTGTCCGCCGAAGTGTGTGCTGGGGAGGAGTTCATGATGTTCTAATAGGTATGTCATTTGGTCGGCTACTATGGCGGTGTAAAGAGTAGATCTGGGCTGGGCTCTACTGAATGTGAGTCCCTAGTCCTGAGAGATGCGAGTATGCTTCGTCCCAAGAGACAACCTAAGAACTACCTTGATAATGCAAGGGAAGTCTTATACAGTTAGAGAGTAGACAAGATATTGGAAGAAAACCTCTTTAATCTCATCCATAGTTCTGAGACTACTTTTGAAGTACCAAGAAACTTGTCCGATGCGACCGAAGGTCGTCCAAGGCTGCAAAAGTGTTGTCCGAAGTAGTGCGATGCCTTCCGAGGCTTGCGAAGGCTGTCCGAAGGTCTATATATGTCGGTGTGTCGATGTGTCGGTATGTCGGTATGTCGAATAACAGTATAAGACTTTGCGCAACGTCCGAAGTCTGGAACAATGCTAATCTATCGGGACTCAAGAATAAACAAAGTGCGAAATTGGCAGCGGTCTAGCCAGACAATCAGTTCTGAATGAACAAGGATCAATTGCGCAGTTTACAATTATACCGAGGTGACTCTACTAATTACTATTTGAAGTATGGGAAGTGAAGTGTCCTATCAGTAGCCAGCAAGCAAGATTATATCCTACTTCCATGAGAGGCCGGAATCCATAGGCGAAACTAGTAGCGAGATAAGCAAGTCCGAACCTATGTAATAAGCCGCGAGGCATGCAAGAATGCAAGTATACATGTAATAAGCCGTGATGTGTACTGCTTATACGTATTCCGAGACTCCTGACAGGATGCCGATGGGATTGTTATCCATGTAGCACTAAGACGTAGTTAACATATAGTTAAAATAAAAGAAAACGCACCAGCGAAGTCAAAAGGACGAGGATAGGACATGGTATGGTAACTCGCGAGGTTTGGACGGGTCTCGGAACATGAGAACTGCCTGCGGAAGGTTTGGACAAGTGCGCGTGGCCTTCGGAAGGTCAAGGGAGGTCGGGGAATGGTATGAACATAGGTGTTGGATTGCCTGGTTCCGAGCCCAGCACCGCGACCATCATTACAGCGATCAGTAACTTGCAGGTTGTGTTGAGGAGGGCAATTGGTCTGTAAGCTTTAGTGATGGTGTAATCTGGCTTGCCTGGTTTGCACAAAACTACAGTCGTGAAATCGCGCCAAGGGTCATAATACACTTTGAGAGTGAAGACTGCCCTAAAAAGATGGAGGAGGTATGGGCACAATATGTCAGCGCAACAAATCAAAACTGCATTACAAATCCCATCAGGGCCTGGGGCCTTGTATGGGCTCAACTTTAGGATGCTACGTTGAAGTTGATCGGAAGTCAATGGTGCTGGTGTTGGGACTGCCTCTGGGTATACAAAGTCTTTGGGTACTGAAGACACTGCGGGTGGTGGAGGGAAGAAAGCTTTTGCTAGGGCTGCGCTCTTTTCTTCGTTGGTGCCTGCCGTACTGCCCTCTGCACATTTGAGTGTGGGGATTTTTGAAAGACCCCTGTCTCCAGCTGAGGCTGTGAGATACTTGTTAGCTGTCCAAATTTCATTACCTGTGAGGTTCTCGAGCCAGTCTGTCCAATGTTCTCTCTTGATTTTCTTGATGGCCTCTGCATACTGATTCTGTTTGATGTGATGTTCCTTGTAGCTGTAATGGTCAGTGAAGCTTCTGTTGCGGTATGACAAATGGCTGAGTTTTGTGACTTCTCATCTCATCATGGTCAGGTCTCTAGTCCACCACCTTTTAGAGTGGGGGTTCGGTTTGGATTTCAGGACAACTTGTTTGATGGTGGTTTGAATGGAGGACGTGAGATTACAGGCCGCTGTTTGGAATTCGTCAATTGTTGCTAATGGTTGAGCGGGTGAAATCTTAGCCAGCTCGAGTTTTAAGTTGCTCTCGAATTCCTCCCAATCTGTTTCACGGAAGTTGTGCTTGATTTCCGTAGTAGCTTGAGGGATTGCTAACTCAAGTATGCTGAGAATGGGGACATGATCCATTGCTGGGCCTCGAAGCGCGAGGTTGGTGGTGCAGCTGATGAATGACTCTCCTGTGTGGTCAGTGCAAAATATGTTGTCCGGACGAGTCCAGTTCTTTGAACTGGAGGATTGGAGGGTTGGCAAACCTTTAGGTAACATCATGATCATTCCATAATCTGCTATGAGGTCAAGGAGTGGTTGCACTGCATTAAGATAATGGTTAGTGAATAATTGCGTGTTTCGGTCCTCGTCCCATAGGGGGTGATGGCAATTAAAGTCTCCCAGCCAGATCATATGATCGTCAGCTGAGGGTCGAATTTGGGTGATCTCACGTTTGAGGAATGTCGTTAAGGTTTCTTGAGTTTTCATACGAGTGCAGTCGTTATAGATATTGAAGATTGTACAGCGTCCAAATGGTCCAAGGAATTGAATGACTACCACATCAGGGGATGGGAACGGGATTTGCTGCCATGAGTTTGTGTCAAAGACTTTGGAAATTAGGGTGATGGCATGTGAGGTAGTTTTGGGAGAAGAAAAATGGGAGGTTGGGTAGACAGCATGAAAGTAGGGTGATGATATAGTGTTTTTCATTTGATTTATGTGTGGTTCTTGTAATGCGATCACGTCCCAATTGTTAGCAATGGGGCTGTTGAGAAGGGAATGTTGGGCTATGAGAGAGGTGTTGAGATTCTGTTGCCAGACACGTAGTGTAGTCAGTTGAGTCGTTCCGTTGTTCATACATGAGGGGGGGTAGAGGTCCGTGGGCTTGAGGGGCTCAATGAGGGGGGAGGAAGATTCGAAGGTGAAAGCAATGGCGAAGGGGATGTGGATGTGGAGTTTGATTGGGGAGGTGGAGGTTTTGCGATTACAGGAGCATTTGAGGCTGGGTATGTTAAGGATATTTGAGTTGATGGCATGGGGTGTTTCTTGCCCCCTCCCATAGGGATTGGGATGGAATTCGAACCGGATGGAGTGAAGGCACGTGGGCGGGAGTGACCAAAGTGAGCGGGTGCACCTCTTGACGGTCTTCCATAGAATCTTCTGTTTTCAGTTGGCGGGTTGGTTTCAAATGTGAGGTTGGTCTGTCGGAAGGTTGGCCTTTGATCGACGATGGGCTGGTCAGCTGGTTTGTGGTAGGGAGCTGGTTTTGGGGGTAGCATGACCTGAGTCCAGTCCTCATCAGTAGGGAAGTAAGGCATGGAGTTTTCTGGGAGCTTAGTGTTGATTCCTGTACAGCGATTCTCAAACTCTGGACAATTTATATTCCAACTTGCATGGTTGTGCAAGTTGCAGCTGACACAAAAGAGGGTGCAATAGGCATTGCAGATATTGGTCCGGTGGTTCTTTCCGCAAGTACCGCATACATCGTTCACAGCTTTACATTCCTTGGCCACATGTCCCCAAAGTTGACATTTGACACAATGAACTGGTTCATGTTTGTCTTTACATGGGTGTAGTTTCTCTTGATTGATGTAGATGCCATCTTGTAAGGTGGTGTTGGCCACTGTGGGGTCAGTAAAATGGAAGATTGCATGCGCTACTCTTTGGTCTGTTGACCTCTGATTTTTTGGTTTGATCCACCCTGCTGCTTCAATAGAGCCTGCCAAGAGGTAGTTTTCTGTTTCTATTGCTCTAAGCCAAGGACCGTTTTCGATGTCTGAGGTAACCGAGAGAAAGGGGACTATGATGGAGAATCTACGTGTTTTGATAGAAATTGGTGAGTCAAGCATGTCAGTGAATTTTACCTTGTTTTCCAGGAGGTGGATCCAATTTGCAGCTTCTGTGGTGGTCAGTTCGATGATGAGGCCTCCATTTCGCAGACAGGTGGTGGCCTTGATTTGGAGGTTTGGGGAACCATTGGATTGAACTGCAGATAGAGTCTGTTGAAACTTCTTAGTGATGTCTGCGGAGTTTTCATTGGGTTCATATATTGTGCCACCGATAGGGGTTTGAGTAAGATCTGATGGTCTTTGATGGCTGCTCTGATTAAGGCTGCTGAAATTGGAGCAGGGATTGATGCATTCTGTTGAGCGGCTGTGCTGTATGAATGCGGGTTGGCTGGTGTATTGGGTAGTGGATGTGTTGCTTCGGTTTCCACCAAAGTGGTCCTAAGTTTCGTTATGTCTTCAGCATTTTTCTTTATCATTTCCGTAGCTGTGGCCATGGCTGCCAGTTGAGGGGAGGATGCCATGAAAGAGTCGACCACTTTCTCGAGTCGTTCGATAGTTCCTACCATGTGGTAGGAGGTGATTTCTGCAATTTTCTTTGCTTTCAGTTCGTAATCTGCTAATCCCAGTAAGATAGTGCTTGCTCTTAGCATGTCTCATTGCAATTGTGTAACTCCTGGGGTGTTGATTGTGAATTCAAAGAGTGTGGTCGTCAAGTCTTCAATGGATGCTCCAGCTGCTGGGATCAACATTCCCTTGCTGACTAGTTCGGCTCTTGCAGTTGCTGCATCTGTTACTTTTGAGGGGTTTGAAGGATTACTTATTAGTTCGGGAATTGATCTATTAGACAGTCTAAGGAGTAGATTTTCTTTGTTTCTTGAGCTTGTCCGCGTGGTGGCAGTGTCTACTTGCTCATCCACTGGCATCTTGTGCAGTGGAATTTTGTACTGGGATGTTAAATGTGAAGCTAGTAAGGTCTATATATCACTTGAAACTGGTTTGGAGAAGGACTTTTGGTGCCGAAGGGCATCGAGGGCGCTGTTAGGCACGATGTTGGAAGTTTTTGATTTCCGGGGTCCTAGTTGGGGTGCCACTTGGTACTGGTCCAAGGTGCGATTCCAGAAAGGTGTTGAGCAGTTAGAAGGCACTATGAAACATCTTCAGCAGAGGGTAATAGATGACAGGAAAAAATTAGTTACATCTGTATCTCATCTGTTGGCCTGCTGGGACTTGCTGCGGTGGGTTCGGGTTTGAAGGGGACACCTCTACTTGTGGGCAACCATACTAATTCGCGACAAGTCTAAATGAATACCACACTATGAACGGATGACTTATGCAAGTGAAGAAAGGAAAGTCATGGAAGTCACACTCCTCCAGGAGGCCAGCTTCGTTCTGAGGAATACCATTGCAAATTTCAGAGATGGGTCAACCTGGGGAGTTGAACACTTCAAAGGCTCAAACGAATCTAGCTCTGAGACGGGTACAGGGTTTCTGACCCAAGCAAGAAGCTTCTTGTTTGAAATGATCCAGACATCATCCTGCTGCATCTGAACCCAATCTAGGTATTCGTTTGTCATCTGAATTGTGCTGTTTGGGGGATCAACACCAGGATAAGTGGTCTATATATAAGTATAACATTAGTCAATATTAAGGTATCGTAGAATGGAGAGAACACACCAAAAGATGGATGGGATGGGTGTAGAGACTAATTGGTTGCCTATTCCCAGTGTAATGATCCGTGAATGTCTTCAAATGTAGCACCATCATTGACAGAACTGGCCCCATTTGCCATATCCATCAAATGCGGACCATCAATCCCGAGGTTGTCAAAGAATGCATACATTGGAATCTCCCAAAGACCAGGAATCTTAGGCAGGACCTTGCATATACCCTCGACAGTCAGACAGTCATTTGCAAGACCATTGTCAAGTGTGTAAGGCCAGTACGCATCGGTACCTGGGTCTGTGACAGGAATCAAAGAGGCAGAGGAAGAATCATGCATGAAATCAATGTTCGCAAGGAGCTGCAAAGTCTCGGCAGTATAATTCAAGTAAGGAGCATGGAAACCTTGGATGACATCAAGAGGAATACCAGCAAGTGCGTTGAGAGCAATAATGTTTCCGTTGATCTCATCTGCTGGAGGTGAACCGTCATGTGTCCTCCTAAAGCCAATGATTAAAAGCACGAAGGACTACAACAATATACATACGTATGATCAGCAATTTCATTTCCAGCAACGTACCAATCGGTGACAAGCGTATAGTTGGTATAGTTGAGAGACGTGAAGTAGGTCATCTTGATAGGGCAACCTTTTGGATTCTGTCATTGAGCAAGGAACTGATTGACAGCTTCAAGAGTATAAAACTGAATGGCATCGTCAGCAGTGAAGACAACAAATTGTGGTACGTCTGACTGTAAAGCCGAATGTCAGAAGTGACACACGAGAACAGAATAAAATGTACTGGAGAAAGGCCACCTGGGGCATGCTAGCACAATTGCAGTTGGGCAACTGACATTAACTAGGGTCGCACAAGTACCCAGCAGCAGACGAGCTGCTGGTCAGACCCGATATGGAGCCATCTTGAGCAGTCACCACACCCGGGCCTGCAATGCTATACCAAGCACTGACAGCAGCGCAGACATCCACATCTCTCTGGGGGGGAAATGGAGATGAACCAGCTGTGGTGTGGTCAACGAATGAAAGAGAAAAGAGTGAAAATGCCAGGCGGCAAACTAGTAGTGAAGAAACCTATAAAGTTCAGCGGGGAGGTGAAAAAGAATACAGTTAGATGGCAAATATTTTGTTGACACAACTATATTACCTTTCGTCATTAGTCCCAGTAACCAGCGACGTAATGAACCACTCAGAGGTTCCATACCTACTGTTACACTAGGCGGATCATCTTTGATATTTGATATGAAGAGATGATCCATTCGCAAGCTGTTCATCTTTGAACAAAGCTTATTGTAGCAAAAAAGAACTTGGCATGGAGGTAAGTAACAGCTTAATTAACCTTCTGTGAATGTCACTCACCGGTATGTCGCTGCAGGTTTTTAGTGAAGCTCGAGCGCTTACTAAGCTTAAGCTTCAGCTATTTTCAAATCATGTTGAACATCCAGCCTATCGCATACCCGAGCAAGTCCTATGTAAGCAAGGGATCAAGCTTAAGCACCACGTGATGTGTGTCCTCGAGATACTTGTTGACCTTTCTCGCACTCAAGACGCTTACTTCGACCATTCATGACATCATACGACGCGGTGACGACACAAGATTCCATTGGACACCGTAGCTGCTTGTTTGTTCCCTATTTGCGTTTACTCACTATATATACCAGTCACTTTATGTCTACAATTTCTCATATATATTGTTACGTATGACATCTTGGACTACCCCTGTGTTTTGCGCGCAATTTCAACCGGCCCTAGTCCTTGAGATCCTTCCCTGAGGCTGTAGTCTTCAAAACCGTCCTGAATGCGGTTTAGAATCTTACAGCCTCAGGCCCGGTCTGGACAGGGTGCGAAAAGACGACATAATCAGTATGTAATCAAAGGTGGAAAATCATGCAAATCCGGAGGTGACAGAGTAGTGGGAAGTATCCGTTCTGCTTCGTAGGAACATCAGCTCTTGCAGAGTCTAAGTATATAATTCTAGTACTATTCCGACAACTGAAACACTTGCGTCCTCCATTCAAAAGGAGATTTGAGTTTATTTGTATCAATTAGGTTCCAAGGCATTGCCAAACAACCCAAGGCGGCCTTTTTACCATCGATCCCTCTAGCTAACATGGCTGATGAATTTGATCTCGAAGCACTCGTAGACTTGGAACAGACGTTGGCCTCATTGTTTTCGTGATTAACGAATCCCTCTAAAGAGCAAGTCCCAGGTTCTACGACGCCGGGTACACCGACGGCTTTGCGCACGGGCGCATCCACGGCCTAATCGAAGGTCGAGCCCTCGGGCGCGAAAAAGGCTTCGAGATCTGGGAAGAGATCGGATTTTACGAAGGGTTCGCTAATACCTGGAAAGCGATATACGCAAAGCATGGACACGACGACCAGTGCGTTTTGTGATTTCGTCTAACATCATTCATTCCTCATCGCGATGTTTGCAGACGCGCGGTGCACCATATCAAGCATCTGCTTGATCTCGTATCACAATTTCCGAAGACGAATCCTTCTCCTGCTGCAATAGCGTCTGGCGATATGGAAGAGGTCGATGTTTCGAAGCTCCAGCGCCAGATTCGATCGCGGTACAAGGCGTTGTGCGCATCACTTGGTGTGAAACCTACGTTGAGAGCGGTCGATGCAGATGCTACTGAGGACGGTGGTGTTCAAAGTGCGGATCAGCAGAAACCAGTGTGGAAATTAGAAGAGGATGCGAAAAGACCGACGACGGTGCAAGGACTTAGTTTTTGAGGAGGACTTCAGGGATGCACCTATGGCCAGGGTCGCGCACTCGCGCGCGAAAACGCTTACATGTGGATATCCACTCCCAAGGCAAGTTTACCTTGTCATCGAATCTCAAGTTTCCCTCATTCTCGCCAGATCACAGATGACAGCAGTAAATCGTATTAAGAGCTTGGAATCCAAGTAAGCATAGGTAATACAGTGGGAGGCGAATTAAACGCTCGGATCTTTGTCCGAGTAATCATACTAGGTACTCGAGATATCTGATACATGCATGGGCAGACGATAGCGATGAGAAATTTGTTATACACTGGTGTCCTTCGAGTACGCAGAACCAAGAAAATGTCGGGTGAGTGGCATCAGATTAGTACGAGCAGCAGGCGCCGGTTGTGCCGTTGGCGCCATTCGCTCCGTTGAAGGCTGGCTTGCTCATCGAATCGTTTGTTCCTGGAACATCCATGCTCGGGTTCTTCGTGAAGAAATTGTTAGGTTTGAACAACAAATTAACGTGCTCAACTGGCATGCTATGGGAGAGTTAATGATTGGACTCCTCTATGCAGTGAGCGGTACTCACACAGGCCAATCCTCAGGGCGAGGAATGTGAGTCGTGCCTACAAAGAGGTGGGGATATCGTTCATCCGATGATCAAAGAATGTGAGCAAGAGCACCGACGCACCGACAGTCAGGAAGAGCACAATGTCCTCGTTCTCGATGCTTCCGTTTCCATCTTTGACCCATCCGCCAACAGAGTCCGCAGGCTCCTCACGTGTCTGAGGGACGTACTTTCCACTTGGCCACATCCTGCTACCATCTGCACCCTCCTTATCTCTTACAACCCACAACGTCTTGTGAGCATATGAAGCACGACGAGCAACCCAGGAGTCAGTATGCGCCATAAGTGGAAGCACACCTCCCTTCATCATGATATTATAACTTGCAGGCTTGCCTGATGCTTCATGGGTCCGTGCTGGGTTGATGATGCGCCAACGACGTTCACGAGCCCAATCGAAGTCGCGCGCGCCGTCTTGCACTTGAGACTTGAGCACCTTGTCCTTCACAACGAAACCATTTCCTGCGAAGTTCTCTTTTGAGCCAGTGGGGGCACTGAGGGGGATGACGTCGGACTCGACGACGGAATTGTAGAGGCCATCGATCATCGGGTCGACCCGAACGGAGAACACGTGCTGGTGGTTGTGTGCGTTGATATTCGGAGCAACAGTCGTACCGTAAGGGTTGGGTTCGTCTTGGCCAGCGACATACACCTGAAGAATTCCGGTAAGACGGATCTCAAGCTCAATGTTACCGTCTTGGTAGAAATAATAGTTCCAGATGTACTCTGATGACAATAGGAACCTTAGCCGCCACCACAAGCCAGATTTGCGTCCCAGTCAACGTACCGTAGTTTGCAAGCGTGCAGACCATGCTGACGACAAGACGCCTGCTGCGAACTGTCTGATGACGACCACCGGGACGATAGTCAGTGTGCTTCCAAAGAACACCAGCATCTTCCTCATGAATACAAATCGCGTTCTTGATTATAAATGGAGTCCCAGAGTGTGTGACGTATGCGCCAGGCTAGAGGATCGGTAAGACACATCGCAGAGTGACAGTCATGGATACGTACGAGGTAGTGAATCTGTCCGAGGCAATCACAGCCCAAGGAAAGCTCGTTTGCCATCGTCCCCATGCCATATTCACCACTAGAATAACTTAAGACACCTATCAACAATTGTTTAGGAGACTACTCACCTGTCGAAGGCGAATTTGCGAGGATGAGGGAACTCAGGTGCGCCATATGGAACAACCATCTCTGCAAGCGACAGACGATACATGACAGGACGGATTTCGCCATCGTCGTTATATGTAATAGTCGAAAGAGCGACACCCTCGCGATGGCTGAATCCTGCATGAATGTCACCTTAGATGGACAATAAGGCTAAATATTGGAAATGACGAACCAACGTGCATCTTCCACTTTTGCCACTCGAGAACATTGCCATCCATCTTAAATGACACGCCCTCGGGCTGGAGAACGTGAAGAGGCTTGATATCATCACGAGGCTTGTGAGCCGGGTCCGACTGGAGGAGATCCGGTAGGAAATCGTAAGACTTGACAGGAGGTGGAATGCGCTCTCGTTTTGACTCGGTGAAAGAGTCCTCGGACAACGGGCACGGTTGCGTACTCGAGACGCTCAACTCTATAGAACCATCCTTGGCCCTCTTGTAGGTCGGCGGAAAGTCAATCTGGACAACCTTCTCTGCGAGTGAGTCGATGACTACAACAAAGTCCTGTATTCACATATCTTAAGTCGACAAGTTCAGCAAGTGAATGAAAGAACTGACCAAGGGGTGGGCATAAAGGTTCTCATGCTCAGAGTAACGAGCGAAGACGAAAGCTTGTTGCAAGCGAGTGTGCTTCGGGAAGCGGTCATCGTAGCCGATAGCCCAGCCGTCAGCATAAATTTGCTCGGGCAGCACTCCTATGAGACAATGAGCAGAATCCCAGGTCACACCCGGTCGACACTTACCAACTTCCTTCGCGAGGGCTTGAACTGTGGGATCTCTGCGCACGACATGCTCACAGAAAGCAAGCTCCTCTGGAGAAATCTGAGGTTCTGAACCTTCTGCAACTAATTCGCAGGTGTCGACGTTCCACGTGCCATCTTCAAAAGACAGGATGGCGTTAAATGTACCCCTATATGACAATGAGTTGTCGTGTGATCACTATTAATTGTGCAAAATAACGAACCCGTTGATCACATCCAAGAACTATGAAAGCCGGTCGCCAGTTAGAACAAGGTTAACTACATTGTGAATACGTACATCACTCTCGGCTTTCCTCACGATCGGAGTGGGCGCTTCGGGCTTGCCGCCCGGTGTGAGAGGGATTCCTAACGCCGCGAGGACGACCCTTTTCGGAGGTGGGACAAGAGTGCAAGTGATGAAGCGGACGGCTTTGATTGGTGTATTTGCGGTAGTGTAAAGCCGGATCGCCAGAGACACTGCATTGATCTAGAAGAGGGAATGAGGACACGTTGAAGACAGGCTAATCAAGTAGTAGTACCTCATCTGGGGTCAAGGGGTCTAGGGGGTGTTTAAACTTGGTAGACTTTATCGTCACGGGAGTGTATACCGTCGTGGCGGTTGCAGGGGAGGCAGAGGGAGCCATATAGGACAAGAGCACGGAAGTATTGAGGCTGATAGGCTACTGGGGGTTGAAGCGTGCCCTTCTTATAGGCCAGTAGGAAAAAAAGGTGTAATTATTAGGTTATCATAAATTGATAAATACGAGAGTAAATGGGCACGCTGCAGCCTGCATTTGCAGAAACGTGTTTTAGATAAGATATCACTGAGAATTATTCTTATGTGATAAGGCGAAGTAGTGGCGAGAGTGTGGGCTAAGAGAAGGCAAACCAACTTGCGCTAAACCGGATTGAAACCGGTTACCGTGAAACTCACTGGAGTCAAAGTGACATCGACCCTGACATACTAGCCCATAACCTTTGCTGTTTTATTCAAAAGAAAACATCATCATTACTAGGTTCAACGGACATCAATGCATTACCGTTGGCTTGCTTTGCCTGAGATAAGAGGCTGGTCTCGTGAGCGGTGCTAAGATAGTGGATATCCCGAAGAAGACTCGAACATGAACGAACGAGTATGTTAGTATCCCGGTTTCCCAATTGACCATATCACATGCGCAAAAGACGAGCTCGGGCGTGGGTACCCTGGTGATAACCGACCTCATATCAGAAGAGTGAGCGAACACATAAAACTCGAAGAGTACCAAGGGGCGTAATCATGTGAGTTCCGTGCAATGCGGAGGCCGCTCCATATATTTACGTTCGACAGTTTTACAGGATCCGGTCAAGGCCCTCGAGAGAGGGCGCCCTGTGCCGGGCCACAAGAACCAGATATGTAGTTCGCAATCTCGGGCCTCCGGAAAGGGAAAGGGAGTGAAACACGGGCGAATCAGTCAATTGGCGATGCTGAGGGAGAAACACTAGTGAGAGACTGAGGCAAATCCAGGAAGAGCTCGAGTGGTCAAGCGTGCCGGGGTACTAGCCATTGCACGAACGTCCTGTTATCTTGAAACCTGTTTATGAGCAACAATCTTCCGTTTTTAGCAGAAGTGGGTAATGCCTTCTATCTCTTCGATGACGGTGAGTTGGCACCGCGTGCTCGGCAGCCAGAATGTTTACGCGACTGCAACTCAGCCTAGTACGTTTATGCTTGAAGAAAAGATTTCAACCTTGACCCTTGACTTCAAGAAATATAGAGGACTCGAACCTTATGACAGACGCAGTAGTCTTTGAGACTGCCGTATGATAAGCACTGCCAACCCGACGCGAGCGGCGGCTGGCCATGTCTCTGTTAGGGTTCGATGCAAGGAAAGACCGTGACCGGTTGCGGGCAACATCTTGAATTACGACACCGCTAAGTACTCGGTTTCACATGCAGTGTCATCCTTTAACAAATTCACATTTTCTCTTTGATACACTCTTGTCGTATATCACTTTCACATAGCCATTACTTGAATTCAACACTTCTCGCATCGCTCAAGCTACCAAAGTCTCTTCATCTGACGCTGCAAAACGAACTTTAATATTAGCGCAATTCACTACTGAGTGCGCGATACACAACAATGGAGTGCACAGCCCACAAATGTCGTACTCCAAAACTTAGTATCACAACGGGACAGACGTATAAGCAATAAAAGTCTTTAATCATTACCGAGAAGGATACCAAGCAAATACCAAGTGATGGCAGCAGGGCGCGAGCCCTGAGGTCGGGTATTAACACGATAAGGGATAGATGGGATATCGGGGTCACGGATACCACACAGATGTTATATCGGATAAGTTGGGACTCTACGAAGTCAGGCAGCATGGCGACATGACGAAGGACACTTGAACAGTGAAAGCAACTCAGCGGTGGTGCCGGCCAGGTTCTCCCAACAAGCAACCGAACCGAGTGATTTCGGGCTGTGGTTCGGAGTGCCACTGAAT